TTAACATTTGGGTAGTTATGTTTTTCTCTAAGATTTTACTATTTATTTATTTATTCAAACAAGAAAAGCTGGAATTTTCCTTTGTTTTTTATTTGGTTTTGACAAATTAATAAAAAAAAAAAAGAAAGAAAAATTTGAGAGTGTTATAAAATATAATCTTTTTTTTCACTATTCTGCTGAATCAACTTATGATGACTAAGGTTTTGTCACACTTACGCTACAAACAAGAAAAGAAAAGAAAAAAAAAAACCTCAAATTCATGCAATTATGATCATTTTTCTATACATTGAACCCCATCGTGCAAATTAATTAGAATCTTGATTGCATATTTTTCTATACATTGAACCCCATCGTGCAAATTAATTAGAATCTTGATTTCTTATTGATTTTTTTTTATATATTTTTTTAAAATTAGAGAAGGTGAAGTGTGACTATATGCATTAATCTGCTCTGATTTTAGCCCATGTTTATCTCCTATTTAAAAATTTTTTTTTTCTACATATTCATTTTCAATAACAAAATAAAATATTTTACACGTAAACCCAAAACATTTTCGTACTTTTTAACTATACATTTTTCAATAATTCACTATTCAAGTAAGAATGTTCTTCGATTTATGTTATTTGCTCTGTTCTCTTTATTCACAAATTAGTACATGTTTTTTTTTTTTCCTCAAAATAAATAAAATAAATGTCGAGTACAGGGATTATGGGTTGTGAGGATTTCAATATCTAATATGAGTTTTTAGGAACGTTTTGAAAAGTATCACAAATGGTGGCTGTAGTTTAGTGGTAAGAATTCCACGTTGTGGCCGTGGAGACCTGGGCTCGAATCCCAGCAGCCACATCTTCTTTTTATATTTTTCGTTCTCTATTTCCAATTGCCATTTAGAGAGTCAAAATGGTGATTATCAATCCAGTGCTTTCACTTAGACGAGCTTCATTGATTGGGCTTGCCCAGATATATCATTCTTTGAGTGGGCACTTGCAATAGATTATGGTTAAAATTCATAAATCAGAGTTTAGATATAACTCATTTCAAAATTAAGATAAAAGGCTTAAAATTTCAAAAATCAGATATTACTTAATTTTATTTCTGAAATAATTAATTAAAAATATATTTTATAAATTAAATATAATGTCACAATTTTATACAATTTGATCACAAATTATCAAATTAATTGGTTACAAATAAATTCTCAATCACAATTAAAATTTTTGTAGCCCACAAATTATTTCACAGTCACAAATTTATCAAATTAATAGTCACATATTATTTATTGGTCATAGATTACAAATTTTATAAGTCACAACTTATTTCATGGTCACAAAATATCAAATTATATTTAGGTGACAAGTTATCAAATTATTGGTTGCAAATTAATAATTTTTTAGGCCACACAGTATTTATCGATCACAATTTATCAATTTCATTAGTCATATATTGTTTATTGATTACACACCAATCAATTCATTAGTCACAATCAACCAAATCATTTGTGATCACTGCCAACGCTTGTGACCATTGCCAGCAACCGAAACTCCCGTCGTCGAACCACCACCACCTCTCGGCAGCAAAATCGTCGCAAATATCGTAGCCAATATCACCACCACCACCACCACACCAAACCGTCAATATTACCACCACTACCAAAACACCATTAAAATCACAGGACAACCACCACCACCCATCCAACAAAAAAAAATAAAAATCATCACCACCATCACGATGTACATTGTTGTGGCTACCTTGTGAACCGCTAAAGGTGCGATCTATCGCCACTCCCACAATATACCACCACCGCCCCACCCACAACACACCACTATCTCCTCTATCTCCATTTACACCACACCCAACCACCATCCCACCAAAAAATCAACAAACTCGCACTACCACCACCACCACAGTACACTATCACCGCCCACACCACCAACACCTCACAGCAAAAAATGTTGAAAAATAACCACAAAAACCACCGCACAACGTTGCAAAATCACAACAGAAGAAACAACATCGAAGCGACTGAGCAACAGTTACGTGTTGCTTTGCACGACGCTAGTGTGGGACTGCGTCAATAGAAAATGGAGAAGGGGAGGAGGGAGAGCAACGACAATACCATCGTAGGTTCCACTTCGAACCGCATGAAGCGAATGGTGGCGCCAACGGTAGTGGTGGCAACGAAGGGTGGTGACGGCGATGACGAAGGATGGCTAGAGAAAAGGTGTGATAGAGAGAGAGAGAAGAAAGAAAATGAAAATGATGAAATAATTAGGGTTTTGGTGCATATGATTGGGTGGAATGAATATGTATATTTAAATTTG